GTCCCATATGAACTTTTAATATCTGATGGAAGTCATTATCCTAAAATGTGGAGGGCACAGTGACCTACCACAGGTCCTGAATGAACATGGAACAGAGGCATCTGACTAGGATTGTATGTAAGTACAGACAAGTGACACTAGCTCAAATCACATCAATGTTCAATGCAAAACCTACCAGAGGCACATCTAGCAAGTTTATTCAGCATTATTTAACTTCCAATGTCCTGGGTATGATTTCATTTTATTTTATTTGTTTACTTCATGAATTCAAGCATCCTACGAGGCTGGCACCCCACCGTCACCCTTTCACTGTTGAAACTCTTAAATGTAGCCACCTCTTCTACTCCAATAGCTTCATGTGTAGCACCTCTCGCCTGTGGAACTCCTTTCCCTACTCCTGTTTCCCTGATAGCTTTAATCTCCAACTATTCAAATGTAATGTCAATCGACATCTCCAGTTGCCTTGATCTATCCACTATCCTTTTCCCCATCCTCTCCTCTATCATTCCTATCTGCTCTCGCTCCAAATCCTCTGTAAACCCTTGCGTGTTAGTGGCTTCCCACCATGCTAGGGGTGAAATGCTTTAAAAAAAAAAAAATTATATATATATATCAACTCCTTTTGGATAATTTAATGCTGAAATTTTATTTTCTTGGGAGCTTTGAAGTAAGAAAAATATGTTATATGTTATTCTGCTTTCACAGTTGAATACATGGTAGATGATAGCTTTTCTGCATATAGATGTTTGTGTGGATATTACTAGAAATTACATGAAAGTTCTTTCAAATTGGTTGTTTTGTTGGTTAACTTTGTTTAGTGGCCTTGATAGAATTCAAAAGCATTTATGCAGCCTTGGAGCTAATGAATTATTTTCCCCAATCTCTTTGCTTCAGATGAAACACTGCTAGCCCCTTGCTACTATATTGCTATTTTCATGGCAAATGTTCAGACAAGCTAGATTTCCTAGTACCACCAACCAGTTCAGACATTCACAGCTAGACCCACCATAACACATCAACAGGATCAACTATTCCAATGGTAATGAAGCAGTTTCACTTAGAAACTTCCAAAGAACTGTTACTTTGTGGAAGAGACTCCAAAGTGGATACTTCCTCAATCGCTGCAATCTAAACCTCTTCAAGTCTATGGTCAACTATTATTTATCTCACTGTTGTAACCTAGAGAAGGTTACTGAATAGAATAATCAGACAAAGATTGGTAATAAATGATAATACTTAGGACAAGAACAACATATATAAAATTCACCAGTGGCGTATAGAAGTAGTACTTAACTGCTACAAATGAGTCAAGTGAATTCCGCAATGAATCTCCAACTCTAGGATATCTACCAACTGCCCCATGCAGTCAGATGTGGCACAAGGCCAAATTTAATGTAGGGTACATGAGCCCATAGACTCAGCCAAAAATTCTCCGTAGACCCCATATAAAACGGAGTCAGGTAGCTGTTTCCTAAAAAGACTCTGTCTTTTGACATAACCTCATCTGGGGATCCTCTCTGCCAGGAGTCAGAGAGTTTGACCAGCACAGCTGGAGACGAATCTCCAACTGTAGACCATGTACAGTATACACTATTGAATTTATGGGAATGGGGGCATACCCATTATCATCAGTAGGTATGCTACAACACTTATATATTCTTATAATATGCACTGTTTTATATGTCTCTTAAGCACTTACACCAACCTCATTCAGTAACTACCTTGAGTGACTCTTAGGCCTTGTATTATGTATTAGCATTAAAAAATCAGGAATAAGATTTCCTTAAAGTACTAAGATAATTATTACACAGGTATTTTATTGGTAGTTTCATCATTTTGATACCTTTTTATTGCAACGTTCTTTGGCTGATAAATTCTTTGTTTTTTAAACTTTAACTGCTAAATATCTCCTTGATAAATATGATATACAGATGGAATGGAAATCTTTTCACTAAACAGATGTTTAAAAAGTTTAAATGTTATCAACATGCCCTTGGAATGTAATTCTGGGACCCCCCCCCACTACTCTGTCAGCTTTGCTTGGAAACTTGTCTGACAATCTTTAATCTCTTAACTAACATTAAAATTACAATGTCAACAAAAATACCAAAAGGGATAAAGTGAGACCTGTCACTTGAGGTTTATCAAAAAGAAATTGGTTAAAGAAAAAAAAAAAAAAAACACCTTCACTATACAAGAAATTTGTTTTTGACATTATTTTAAATAGTTAAAAAAAAAGAAATCTATACCTGCCATCAGTAGATACATGAAAAAAAAAAAAAAAAAAAAGCCCAAATAAATTTACATTTATGTACAGAATCTTCCAGACAATATGGTAAAGATTTTTTTCAGTTTTTTTAATAATTACACCCCAAGCAAGGCAATAAAGCAACTAAGATGCAAGGGTTTAATGAGTATTAGAAAATATGAGAAAAATATATAATTAACATTTAGCACTTTGCATCATTTTTAAATATTACTTCCCCTTTTACTGTAAATGAAATCCCTTAAAAATCTTTTATATATTAGCTCTATATATTTGAAATTGCAGTAGCATGGCTCACAATTTCAGTCAAGATTGTTTTAAGTGTTACTACAGAAGCATATGACTACACAATGTAGAAATTCAAACTTGCATTGGCAGGACTAACATTTTGCTTGGCAAAACTAGTCACTTACAGAGAGCTAAAGTTTAAGGATAGAGGGCAATAAACAAACAAGAATTAAGAAGATAGAAGATAACGACTGACATTGCATTTAAATTTTTGAAGATAAAACTTGACTGGAAAGTAAGAAGCTGAAAGAGGGTTCCACAAGTGAGAAGTGTGATAGAAGAATCTATTAGCATAGTACTTATAGTTACATCTAGCTATTTCAGAGGTAAAATGAGACCTTACTGCCAATCTAATACTGCACTTAAATTCATAAAGTCTAATTACCATAGAGGAAAATTGTATCAGAACAATTGCCTGAAGGTATTTATAGAAAAGGCACAAAGAAGTACATTATAGCAGTGGGAAAGTAACTGATGGTGTGATGCCTGGTCAGCACCAATAAGATAGCAAATTCTTTGGATTTTATCGAGAATTTCTAAATATATAACAGGAACACCAGACCAAATATGGCAGCAATATTCAAAGCAAAGATGAATAGTAGACTTATAAATATATAAGATGGCTCACTGTATTGCCAGAATCTAACTTTCCTAGCAGCAGACTTAGAGTTAATTCAATATACTCTTTCTACTTCATGTTAGCAGAAAACATTAGTCCAAGAAGGTGCAATTAAATCACTCTCAGCAGCTTTGTTTTTGATATGTTAAAATTAACAAGCCACTCCTTGCCCCATTTAACAACAGATTGTAGGTCAATTTTGATACCATCTGCCAACTGTGAGAAGAAAGTATTCGTCATCAATTATAAGAAGACAGAATGTATGGTTATTAGCAAAAGAGACAGCCTAACATGTGAGCTATGAATTGGAGATGTCAAAATCAAGCACGTGTAGACATTTAAACATCTGGGAAGAGCTTTAAAAAATGACAGAAAATGTGGCACCAAAATCTGAAGACACATTGAAATAGTGGAAGATGCCTTCTAAAAGCTAAAAAAGTATAAAGAAACAGGAAAATTTTATTAGAAATAGATTACTGAACAATGTAATATCAAAGAAATATTGATGAGCACTCCAATGTTTCTGCAATGAGTTCCATCAATGATGATATACGAGAGGTGACCCAAAAGTAACCGGAATCGTTTTCTGTGTGACAAGCCCATAGTAGTTCAGGCTTCCACCACTAGATACCACTTGAGGCAACCCTCAGGCATCAGTGTGCTAACTGGTGTCATCATGGGAAGATGAACAGCTCTGTGGTTCACATTTGTTTTGAAGTGCTTCACGCTTTTTCGTCTATTTTTACCTTGGTTGAAAGGATGCCTGTCGTAAACCGAAAGAGCAGTTGAAAGTTGATCCAGACCTTTTTTCGAGGGTCATCACTGGTGACGAAAGCTGGTGCTATGGCTATGACCCGGAAACGAAGCAGCAATCAAATCAGTGGAAGCATCCAACATCACCACAACCCCAAAAAGCGCATCAAGTGAAGTCCAATGTCAAGACGATGCTGATTTGTTTCTTTGATGTGAAAGGAATTCTCCACAAAGAATTTGTTCCTCCTAGTCAAAGTGTTAACCAGGCTTTTTACTTGGAAGTCCTGAAGCGTTTGCAAAATGCTTTGCAGATGTAGAAGAGGTTAAGAAGAAAACGACGGAGTCATTAAAAAACACAACTTCGCAAGAGTTCCAGGACTGCTTTGAACAGTGGAAAACACGTCTGGACCGGTGCATTGCTTCAAATGGAGAATACTTTGAAGGTGGTAAGAATATAAACATGCAACAATAAATGAATAAAATTATATGACACAATTCCAGTTACTTTTGGGTCCCCCCTCGTATATTCTTTCATGCTATTTGTATTGAAGCAATCACCTCATCTTTACATTTGATGACATGAACAGTGTAATTGTCAAATGCACATGACTTGTTTCATTTTTTTAAGTATTTAAGTCTCTGTATTTTTAAAGGTTGATACATCACTGAGTGATCGGGCTGCTGGGGAATGGGTGCTTTTAATCAAGACATTATCTCTAGATAAATTACCAATAAAGGCCCCAAGAGATACTGCTTCCCATTTGGTGAGTACTTTTCATTCATGCTAGTACGACCATCAACAGCTTCCAAACATTTTAGTCTACTCAGTTTCATTTATAAGACTTGGGTCAACACATGGAATGGTCTGCAGGAACTTCCCAACAGTGCTGCATGCTAGGATTCCTTCCCACGATATTATCAAGAAGTCACTATCTTGAGAATCAACCATAGAAAGATTCTACCCCAGGCTCATGAATGCAATATACTGTAATAATTAATTTGATTTTTTTACACCTTATCAGCCCTCTGTGGGTTCTTTAAATCTGAAGCATATTTTAGATTGTAAGAGCATACTTACAGTACCCAGAATTGCCAAGTAGTCACCCATTTCAGTACTGACTAGGTTTGATGCTGCTTAACTCTGGTGATCGAACAAGAACCAGTGTTTTCAGTGTGATTTGACTGTAGACCCATTGCAATAAAAAAACAGCAAAAATAAGTTGAAAGAAAAACTAGTAAAATATTACTAATGACAATTTGGACAACTTCAGCTTTCCCTACAAACTTGAAAAATGTTACATTTAAAGTCGAAAAAAAGGCTATATTAAAATGATTTTCCTACTCAGGGAATTTTTGTTACACAGCGCCCTCTGTTGTCAGATTTTGCTGAACAGATCTGTGCTCTGCAATTAATCAGTGCATTCATCTACCCTTTTAATCCCTATCTCTCAAAATTCAGAATTCCAGTTCCTTCATCATTACAAGAACCTTTTAGACACGTTTCCATTTCTTGCATTACACTTCCTGTTTCCACACAAATTTGGCTCTTCAGATAAGCTTCAGGCTCCATTCCCATTCACTCTTGATTCTCTCTAAATTATGGTATTAATTCAGTTATCTTGATAGAGCTAATGAAAAATAAATCTTTTTTTCCCAGCTTCTTGAATACAGTTTGTACTCTTTGTAAAATAACACACAAACTTCTCTTTGCCATCTTCACAAAGATCCACATATCTGTTCTTATGAATTCAGAGTGTATGACTAAAGCAAAAAAAAAAAAATAGAAGGTGAATGGTAGTGAATGCTGGACAATCTCCTCACAAATGAAGAAGAGACTTGAGACAACAGAAATGTGATTCTACAGAAGGATACTGAGATTTACAAGGAAGTTTTAAGGAAAATAGAAGCAAAAAGAATGCTTCTGCTTAGAATCAGAAAGAAGTAGTTAAAATTTTTAGAAGTTATGTTGAAGGCTTGAAGAATTTAACACTCACAGGATATATTGATGGCCGGAGGAAAGCAGTGTGTAACCTAGCTAATGAGTTTGAGCATAGCAGAACAGCGATTGGAAGAGATAACAAAAAGCCTAACAGCTACAAAAATAAGAAGTTGTGGAGAGCTATGATTTCCCACATCCTGAAGGGACACAGCACGTAGCAGAAGAAGAATCTTTTTTGTGTAATAGATATTAGTGCAGAAAGTGTAATCAGTGAGTTGAGTTTAAATTTGGGGCTAGTCTGTTGCATTCACTTTCACACAAATGCCATTAGTAAAAATCATGAATGTCTCTCTTACCACTTAGGAGTTAAATAGTTGAGTAGATTGAGTGCTCTAGCCTTGAGAGGCAAGAAGTTTAAGAAAAGGAAAACTTCAAAATTCTAAACCCTGGAGAAGACAATGGGAAACCACTCCTCTATCTTTCCCAATAATGCAGGGGAATTCACAGATAATGAAGAAAAGGAATCTGTGGAGAGCCTTCGTCACTTCGTCCCTCAAGGTACACAGCATTTAATTAAGAGAAAATGGATTAAATAGTAGGATAGCCCTCTCTGGCACCTGGTGAGAGCCAGTTTAAGAAAAGGACTACTCTGAATTTCAAACCATAGAAAAGACAATGGGAAACTACTCCTGTATCTTTCCCAATGATGCATGGAAATTCATGAATCATAAAGAAAAGGAATTGGTGGAAAGTCATGATGGATACAGAGTTAGAATATAATTGCTTATGATTGTTGAAAATTTACTAATGTCAATACTTCTTGCTATCCAAGCCGAAATAAATTTCTATTTTTAACTGAAATAATCAAACCCCAAACAAGGCAATAAAGCCACTAAGATGCAAAAGGTTACTAAGAGTGAAAGAATCTCATAAAAATTTTGAAGACAATAAAATGACACAGTACAAAGAGACAAGATGATCATTTAATTTTTTGAAGATCGTAGTTGACTGGAAAGCAGAGAGAGAGTTCCACAAGCGAGAAGTGTGTGAAAATAAATTGTTAGCATGGTACTTCATCTAGCAAATTCAACAATAAAATGATGCTTGTTTTTTATTGATTCATTCATTTTCTATGATTTATCAACCCTCTGCTGTTTGTTTAAAGCCAGAAAATATTTTTAGATTCTAAGGATATTTTTGAGAGTTAATAATGTTTTACTGATATGAGTCTTACAAATTAACCCATAGTTGGTGGGAAGAAGAGGTGGATTCATGCCTTTTCCAGGGGTATTAGCGCATAAGTGAATATAACAAACCCAACTGAAATTGGAACTCTGCTCGATGATTGAAAATTATGAGCTGTTATATATTACACCATCTGCACATCCAAATTTACAGCACCTGGTATTCTCAAGCAGTAACCCATCTAGGTACTGACCAAGCTTGATGTTGCTTAACTTTGGTTATCATACAGGAACCGGTGTTACAACACTATATGGCCATAAACAGTAAAATGATAAGATCTATTTTCCAATCTAGTACTGCACTTAAATTCATGAAGTTGAAGTGTGAAAAAGGAAAGCTCATGAGAACAATTACTATGAAAGTACTTAGAGAAAAGGCACAGAAAGGCAACATTATATCAGCGGGAAAGTGACTGAAGCAGGGATGTCAGGTCAGGACCAATAACATTGCAGGATTTTCAATGCTTACTTTCAAGGAAAGCTGGCAGACCCTCTCTACTTGTGGAATGGGTAATCTCATTCTGACCAATTGTCTTATCTTTTGCAACACTAAACAAGACAGTAAATAGTCAGTGTTTGAACTCAAATAAAAGCCAGATTTGCAAGATAGGCAAGTTCTCCCTACTGGTAAGATTGGTGCTCCATAATCTTCTTGCCTTCTGTTGTAGCCTAGGAAAAGGTTACTGAATAAGAATAACCAAAACGAAGGTTAGAAATAAACAATAACATTTATAACAGGAACAACATACAAGATTCGCCAGCGGCATGTAGTAAGTAATCAACTGCTAGTGGTGAGCTAGAAATGAATCAATGTGAAGCACAAGTGAATCCCACTGTGAATCCCAAATGACTAACATATAAAGTATATTCTACTGTATTTATACGGATTGGGACATAACCATTATAGTCCATAGGTACAGTATAACAGTAACTTTGAGTCAGACTAAGTTAGAAAGAGTAAGGATCTATTTTTATCATCTTTCCTATTTCTTCTTTAATTTTTTCTTCTTGTTTTATGTTTTTCCCTGCTCTTTCTCCTTTCACTTTTCTTCTTTTCACTTCACTTTCTTCACCCTGGGCTTTATCTGTCCCTCTCTTTCGCTTCAGGCATTGGGTGGAGAGTGTTCTCCTTTTTATAAAACATCTGTCCTTTTTAAGTCGTTGCTGAAAAACATTTCACTAATACTCTTCTAAGAAAAAAAAAAATAAATAAATAAAATAACTGGCGTCATGATAAAACATTTTTTTTTTTTTTTTTTTTTAAAGTAAAATACAATTTCCAGATGACACACCATCAGCCAAAAATCTTTGGAAGTGCTTCCCTAAGTTTAGTCTTTTTTTCCTTTCCAATTATATGGTCTTCTTTCTTTTCTTTTACATTTTTTATTATGATTTTCGTTACTTTTTTATTTGTTTTTTTAAGTTTTTTTTGGGGGGGGCATTGTTTTTCATTTCTTCCCATTATGCTAATAACAATAACATATTTCTTATAAACACTGTAAAAGAATAGTCTAAGAAAATATTTAACATTTTTTAACTGAAGAAATTCTTGCTTCACTAATAAAGCAATGAAGAGACAAAAGATTAGATGCTAAGTGGCAGAGGCAGAAAAAATTCAAAATGGTTCAGAGGTAAAGCTACGGTAGGTTCAAATGGTATATACAATATACAGGTTCAATGGTAGCAACAAAAAATAGGAGAAAATAAATACTAGGTAAAAATAATACTCATAAGGCAACCATTTTACTTTTCTCTAATTCACTGCCATCAATGCCATCTTCCTTCTACCACTTTTACTCATCATCATCAGTCTCATAACTGGGTGTGGCTGTCTCACCCACAGGATACAAGATTTTGGCCAGTGTTCCTCTGGGGAGACACTCCCTGGGTAAGCTGAATACACAATTTCATCAAACCACATGGCACCATCATATGCACACACACTACAGCTAATTCCATAAATGTTTTATTTTTTAATTTTACATACATTTATACACAGAACAACATGATTCAAGAAATAGGAAAATATTCGCATCAATAGAGATAGAAAAAAAATAAGGGAAAATCTAAAAAAAATAACAAAAGAAACATTTACAGGATTAGTAATATATATGTGTGTGTGTGTTGCCTATATTCAGAGTTTAGACAGATATTAGTTGAAAATACATCCATGCTCCATCAAGATAATAATAAGCAAAAACTTAAAATTCTAGAAGCCCTTTATAAAAAATAAAGCCAACTCCAAGTAGAGCAACAAAGTTCTTAAATGTTTGTAGTAGCAAAATACTAAATTAAAATACTATAAATAAAAAATAAAAAAAAATAAAAAATCACATAATTTACCTCCCTTACATAGTGGTAAAAAATATTTTGAATTTACGGTGTTAATGCAAAACACCTCCATAGATATGAAACCCTTGAAGATGGTCTAAGATAGTCTCAGGTGAGTACTTACAAAAATGAAAATTATTTAAAAGAAAATTTTGGAATTTTTCTTAATCAATTTTCTACAGCCATCAAGAAATTAATTCATGGACTTTAAAGGATTAAAACTAAAATAATTAGACATAATACATCTAAATTACTTAACCAAACATGTTTGAATAAAAATATACTACTAAAATATATACACACACGTGCATATATATATATATATATATATATATATATATATTTCAAGTATAGGTGCAATTCAATTTACAATTACATGAATCATTCATACAAAAAACAAATATAGAAGTTAATGATTTAAAAAAGACCTTATGCAACTGGAATTTATAAACAGGGATCATATCATTCATATACAGGTTCAGGGTTAGTGTACTTTATTAAAATTGTTTGCAAAGATGTATTCTCGCCATTTAAATCATTAACTTCCATATTTGTTTTTTGTAGGAATGATTCATGTAATATATATATATATATATATATATATATATTATATATATATATAGGCAGCATATCTTCATTCAAGCATGTTTCATTGAATAATATGGACATATTATGCATATTTATTTATAATAATCCTTTCTATTTCTCTAATTAGCTTCTTGATGTTAAGTTGAAATTCATCAAGGAAGGTACTGTGTTTTTTGTTAACCCAAGTACTTTCTATCTCCTCCAAGATCATCCTCAGGGGTGAATTGTGAAGACAAACTTAATGTAACTGTGATCATTGTGATGGTAATTTTTGTAAACACATGTGAACATGCCCTGTTATAATTAATTTAAAATTAACTGTTTTTGTAAACAGGCATCCACAATATAAGGGAGTTAACCAGAGATGATAAAAAGGCAAATGGCATTAAATATTGGTCAGATACATTTGAAAAAATTGTTACTATACTCATAATATATTTTGTTCAGTGTTGATTGGTTGCTTTTGATATAGAGGGACTTGAGAATTTTAATTTTTTGTTTATTATTTTCATAAAATATTGGTAAACAAGTATTTTTCTGTATTGTGAAGGTGGACAGGAATGTGCCTTTAAATGTTGTGCGATAGAACTTGTATCCGACAAAAAGAGTCTAAGATGTCTTGATAACGTCCAGGTCATCAGGCCAACCTATGTACTTACTTATGTATATGTATTTTTATAAAAATTGTCTAGGTAAAACAATTACAAGTGGATGCTAAAAATTTCTCAGCTTGGCCAAATCCATATAAAAAATATCTAATGTCTGACCATTTTTTCATTCATCAGCACTCCTTATACCAAGCACCATTAATTCCACCATCTCCTTCCCAGTAGTCCTGTTGGGCATGTGCTATCTATCATCATCATTAGCTATTAAAAGTCCACTACTGCACAAATACTTTTCCTAACTCCTTCCATGACTAAAATAACTGTGCTATTCTTTGCCATGTTTAATCATTAAAAGGCTTTTTTCCTTTTTGTGTCATAATAAAATTTCTAATAAAAAAATCATGTCTCACTTTTTTTAACCATGTATAATAATTTTTTCTTTTATTTAAAGTACAAAACACTTTTTGGGACAATTTAAAAATTAACCAGGGATGACTTCAAACTTTTGAACTTTAGTCTATATATAGGTACCTCCAAAATTTCATCAAATTAAATAAGTCAGGGTGCAGTAATAGATGCAAAAAAATAATTTTACCAAGATCTTTTTAAAAAAGAAATGGTTAAATTCTCTAAGAATTTCTTTTCATCTTAATTTCAAGTGTTTTTTTTATTTTTTTATTGCAATTCTCATTTTTTGGTTGTTAGTAAGCTATGCAGAAAAATCTACACTAATTTTTTAGGCCCATGCGAGGATTGTGATTGAAGATAAATGAAATTAAGATAAAATACATACTAATAATTGTGAAATTGCTTCATTTAAGAAATTCAGACAACCTAAGTGATATGTCCCGGAAAGGGATATATTTGATTGAAATAGTTAAGTGGGTTTGGCTACTGTAACCAAGTAGTGCACAGTAGCAGTAATAACTGGTACTCGTCATAGTCACAGGTAATAGGGGTAGACCAATAGGATAGCCAATGGAGTAGTCCAATGGGCATCGTCAAAGACTTAAACTCTGTCGTACCTACACGTCTGTCTGTATTTATGACTGACACCAGCCAATCACATTCCAGTGAGGGGGAACTCAGGCTTATGCATATTCCATTATATCACTAAGATTTATCTCTATGTTAAAAAAATACAAATGCAAGTCAAAAATTGATAATCACTGACAATGCTTATGACCATATCATGTTGCTGTGGAGTTATTTCGCAGTGGAAGCTTGTATTTGTACTAAGTCGGTCCTAAAATAGGTTCGACGTACAAAACATTAGGAACTTGATGTAATGGGCATTACACAGAGTAATCTTGTTATGGTCGCTGATACTTTCGTATTCGACTAACTGTCAACTACTGTCATCCGACATCGACTGACTCATCGTTTCTCTTACTACTCCTACTTATGTTAGGTGGGAGAGTCTATTAACTATAGAATAGGTGTGTTTCACCATAACACATGTTGAAACACTAGTTCATGTATGATCACTGAAGTTAAGCAATGTTAAGTTTGCACAAAGACTTTTCCTAACTCCTTCCATGACTAAAATAACTGTGCTATTCTTTGCCATGTCTTACCAGTAAACTCTTTTATTACATTGTTTCATCTCTTATCTGGTCTTTTCTTAATGGGTCATCCATACTTCAGCTGTCCACTGAGACACTAAACAGTCTTTTATCACTCACTAAACATTGGATCTTTGAACTGAGTTGTCAGATAACAAACCCAATGT